GTAATTTTGTATGCTAACTTGCATTGTTGCCATGGGTTGCTTTCCTTGATATAGTTGATTAAAAATGAGTGTTCCTTGTTTATGAGAAATAAGCTAAGGATGAGATTAAAAGATAGTAAACATGAATGAGGATCTAAATTGACTTGCTTGGTATGGGTGGGATTATGGGGTCTTATCCATGCATTGCATAGGCTTGCCTTGAGGTAACTCATGAAGTGTTTCTCTCATGTCATAATAAAACTAGACTGTATTGACTATGTATGTGTTCTAAATGGTATTTCTTATACCGTACTACAATCTATGCCTTAACATGATGTCTTTTAAGCCTATTACTTGTGTTTTCACACTAACTTCTAAATGATGGTTTAAAATAGCAAAGTGCATGCATTCAACTAAAATATCTCCTTCCGCATGTTTCCAAAGGTTTTTATGCATGGATATTGATGCGTCCACAATTTGGACTCATTTAAAGCCATATTTTAAAAGAACTAGTGTTCTCAAATGCATATTTTGTCTCAATAACTGATGGATATCCTTGAGTTTCAGGTATTTGGAGTTAGAGACAAAGCATGGACACTATTGGGCAAAAAGGGACAAAGAAAGCCTTAGGAATGAATAAAAGAAGGCCTGATGTTTGATGATGTTGTTCAGCGAATCGCGATTATCATTCAACGAAACGCCAAAATCACCAAGATACCGCCTAAAGTTACAGAACGCTGGAGCTAAAATGGGAACAAATTCAGCAAACAGCAACCATATTCGGCGAATTGCCGATCTAGTCGCTGAAGAACAACCAGGTCACCAAAAGTACGAAAGTAGATACAAGCAAGTGCTAATAGGCGAGATGGAAGGATAATAGGCGAATTGTGGAGTCATTCAGTGATACCGACCTAGCTCGCCTAAAGTTATACCGACCTATCCCGCCTAAAGTTATAGTAGCCTGACAAAGAAAAAGGGAAAAATGAAGGTAAGATGAAGAGCAATTGGCGAATCGCCAACCCGTCAGCGATACCCGACTTACTTCGCCGAGTAGCTCTAAGCAGTGACATTTCAGACATGTTTAAATTATTCTTGGCTGGAGAGAGAAATTCATTCAGAAAGGAAAAAAGGAAATTATTGGGAGAGAAAACACTACCAAAGGGTTGGGAGAGCGATTTTAGCAAGATTTTGAGAGAGATTTTGTACGAGAGAAGATTATCAATTGAATTTCATATATAATTTTTATCTTGTACCCAACTATGGGGATGATAATTAATTTTGATGTTTTTTATTTTTGAGATGAGTGGCTAAAACCCTTTACTTGGGGTTTTGATCATGAAGCCAATTGTTGAATTTACTTAATGGGTGTTTATTAATTGTTAAAAATGGTGCTAATCTGAAGTGGGTCTAAGCTGCTGTTGTGTTTCTAGATTGAATTGTGCTACGTCGTGTTTCAATTTCAGTGATGTGCACTTGCTCGAGAGTCAGGTGTGAGGCCAAGGTGGCAATCTTAGCGTCCTTAGTAGTGGGTTTTCTTAATTTCAGCTCGAGAGAGTGAAACAAGGAGCTTTTCCTTTGTATCTAGCTCGAGAGAGTGGATTTGATGAGGGTAAAGAGATTGGTTTCAGTCAATCAGTGTTGAAGGTAGAAAGAATTCAGCATAGAAAAGGTAATTGTTCGAGAGAAAGTTACTTTTTATATGGTTCGACCTACCCACAACAAATTAGTCTATTATGAGCAGTAATGTTTACCCATTTTGTTGAGATTCAATAGTTGGCTGATCAATTCCCGGAGTTTTACTTTAATCATTACTTGAGTTGAGCTATAAGTTTGAATTGGAAGTTAAAAACCCAAAATTTGAGATTTTAATATTAATTGTGGAAGAAATGTTTGATTGAAGAGACTGTCATTGTACTTCCATTAAAGTGATTCGAAGGAAGCACTACTCCATGTGGGATCGACCCCAACTCACATAGTTGGTTTATTATACTGAAGAACGACCGTTGGCATTTAGTATTGGATGAAATGCCACATCATACGTTAATCAAAATGGCGCCGCTACCGGGGAGTAGCATTACTTAGAATTCTTTGATTGAAGATTTGACACTCTCAAATTCATTGGCTGTAGTTGAAGTAGTTTCGGCTGCTTTGTATAGATATTGGGTGGACCGCGTAGAAGTGAACATGAGTGAAGAAGAGATGAATGACAGGCAAGCAGTTCATCGAAAGGGTATAGTTGACATTTATACTATCTACACCCTAGCTCTGTCAGATGGGATGGGTGCAATTTGCATCCCACATACTGATGAGAATGCAAGGTTTGAAGTCACGAGCACAACTCTTCATCTTCTCCCAATGAGGGAACTATATGGGGGGTTAGATCATGAAGACCCGCATGAACATGTGAGAAATTTTATTGAGGTTTGCATCCCCTTTTTATTCAAAAATATGTCTCAAGAGTCAATTCAGATGCAGTTATTTCCACTATCCTTAACAGGAGAAGCTAATAAATGCTTAGTCGAGTTAACAAAAAATTCATCACGTCATGGGAGGAGCTGGTTGTAGCATTTAACATAAGATTCTTTCCTCCATTAAGAATGATAAAACTTATAGACGAAATTCAAAGTTTCAAGCGGCGGGAGGGAGAACCCATCTATGAAACGTGGGTGAAATTCAACAAGTTCCTACTTAAATGCCCAACTCAGGGGCTACCAAATGATTAGTTACTTCAATATTTCTACCGGAATCTAGATTCGGTTAATAAAGGAGTAGCTGATCAAATGGTACGAGGAGGAATACTGTTATAACCAGTTGAGGTAGCTTCGTTTCTTTTTGATGAAATGACTAGGATAAACCAAGCATGGTACACCCAAAAGGATCAGGTCTCTCCATTTCATTTCCGACTAACGCAAGAGAAACTTGATAGATAAAGAGAAAGAGAGAGATGAGAACATTAAAAAGATGTTAACTGAAATGGAAGTTCTACAATAGCACATGAAGGGGACATGTGGAGTATTTCGAGTTGAGGAGGGTTCTTCTTCCGATTACTCAAGGCCGGGGGATAGCCAAGGTTGGAACTTCAAAAGATATGAGGAGGGTTTCCACCCACGCCATCAACAACAAGGTGGAAATCAAGGTTAGAACTATCAAAGATGAGAAGAACAAAGAAGATATCATCAAGATTGGGCTGAGCAAGATGATTACTGGAAAAAGGAATATGATCTTGAGCAGAACCATAATTACTCAAGTGAAAGCCCAAAATCAAATGGGAGTGCAGACAGCCCCCGGGTGAATGGATTATTATCATGCATACTTAATAAAGTTGAGCGGTCAGATGATTTATTGAAAGGATTGAAAGATGACTTTTCATCATTGAACAATAAAGTAAATTCTCATGTCGATGCCATCAAAATACTTGAAGGACAACTGAGTCTATTATCAGCTCAGTTGACATCAAAGACACCGATGGAAGATAACAAGAGAAGGCTGGCTGTAGTTACACGTAGTGGAAAGGTGGCAATAGGCAATGTGATGGGAAATAAAGATACTCAAAAGCATGAAGAAGGTAATGGCACGGAGGAACAAGAATCACTTATTCAACAAAACCATGCTAAAGAACCGCAAAAAGAAGTGGAACAACTTGTTCAAATTCCAAAAGTTATTCAACCTTTACTCAAAATACATCCACCATTTCCCCAATGCTTAAAAAAAAAGAATGAAGATGAGGAGTTCAAGAAGTTCTTTTCGGTATTTCAAAAGCTATCAATAAACCTTCCACTGGTTGAAGAATTATTGGAAATGCCGGGATATGCCAAGTTCCTGAAAGAGCTAGTCAGAAAGAAAAGGAACTTGGACTGTGAAACAATTGAAGTGTCCCATAGTTGCAGCACAATTATGACTAAAGAGCTGATCACAAAGAGAGAAGACCCCGAGGCATTCACCATCCCTTGCACCATAGGCATGCTCAAATTCAAGAAAGCTTTTTGCGACTTGGGGGGAAGTATCAACTTAATGCCCTATGCAATATACAAGCAACTTGGTTTGGGAAAACCAAAAGCAACCACCATCAGACTCCTGATGGCGCACCGGTCAATCAAACATCCGGTGGGGATCCTCTACGGCATCTTGGTAAAGGTAGATCGGTTCATCTTTTCGGCTGATTTTGTGATTTTAGATTGTGAGATCAACGCCGAAATCCCCATTATTTTAGGAAGGCCATTCTTGGCAAGTGGGAGAGGATTGGTGGATGTTGAATATGGAAAATTAAAGTATTGGGTGAACGATGATGATGTAACATTCAATATTTGTAAATTCATGAAACACCCAAGTGATATTCATCTGGTGTCTATTGAGGATGTTATTGATGAGGCGGTAGCTAGTGTTAGCCATTTGATGTGCATGAATGAACCACTTGAATCTGTGCTTACTAATTATGATGAATCTAAAGTTCAGGGCTATGAGGAAGTAGTAGCAGCCATAATGGGATTAGGAGAATATTCTAAGAATCCAATCAAGCTGGATATTGACCTAAAAAATAAAGAAGCTCCTCCTGCAAAGTCGTCAACTGAGGACCACCTAATCTGGAATTGAAAGTCCTGCCCGCTCATCTCCAATATTCTTTCTTGAGGGCAAACAATACTTTACTAGTGATCATTGCAGTTGATGTGCTTGAATGGCAGGTGAGTTTGCTCATTGAAGTATTGCTAAGGCATATAAAAGCGATAGGATGGACCATCGTTGATATAGTGGGAATTACCCTTGGTATCAGTTCTCACAAGATTCAGCTTGATACGGATTGTAAGCCTAGTGTAGAGCATCAGCAGAGATTGAACCCACTAATGCAAGAAGGGGTAAAAAAGGAGATCATCAAGTGGTTGGATGCATGTGTGATCTACCTTATTGCGGATAGCAAATGGGTAAGCCTGATGCAATGTGTACCGAAAAAAAGATGTATCACTATGTTCCTATATGCAAATGGGGAGCTAGTGCCGACTAGAGCAGTGGCAGGGTGGAGAGTATGAATGGATTATCAGAAGCTAAACTCATGGACTGAAAAGGATCACTTTCCAATGCTATTTATGGATCAAATGCTTGACCGGCTATCAGAGAGGGGATGGTACTGCTTTCTAGATGGGTACTCTGGTTACAACCAAATCTCTATTGCGCTAGAAGACCAAGAGAAAACCACCTTCACCTGTCCTTATGGAACGTTCACATTTAAAAGAATGTCATTTGGGCTATGTGATGCCCCGGTGACATTTTCGCGTTGCATGTTATCCATTTTTGCGGACATGGTAGAAGACTCTATGGAGGTATTCTTAGACGACGTTTCAATCGTAGGACATACATTTGAAGAATGTTTGACACCCTTGGGTCAAGTACTCCAAAGATGCGTGGAAACAAACCTAGTTCTGAATTGGGAGAAATGCTACTTCATGGTGAAGGAAGGCATAGTTCTTGGGCATAAGGTGTCACAAAAAGGATTGGAAGTTGATAATGCAAAAATTCAAGTGATTGAAAAATTACCCCCCGCCAATTTAAGTTACAGGTGTTCGCAGTTTCTTGGGATAGGCCGGTTTCTATCGGAGGTTCATCAAAGACTTCTCAAATATTGCACACCCCTTGTGCAAACTCTTGGAGAAGGAAGTGAAGTTTTTTTTATGAAGCTTGTATGACGGCATTTCGAAGATTGGAAGAAAAATTAGTATCCACCCTAGTCAATATCAGCCCTGATTGGTCCGACTCTTTCAAAGTGATGTGTGTTGCTAGTGGTACAACTCTGGGAGTGGTATTAGGGAAAAAATGGAACAAGCTTTTTCACCCAATTTACTAAGCGAGCAAGACTCTAAATAGAGCTCAACGTCTAACACCTCGTATTATGCATATGCTTGTTTTATTCTTGTGATACTTGACATAGCCTTAAAGTATAGGCGAGGGACCATGTTTCTTATATGATTAGCATTAGTTTAAACTAGCTCGAAAGGTTATGTGATGCCTTGCACGTTTCAGCATATGTACTGCAAGTTAACTCCAATTGGATTAATATTTAGAAAATGAAATAAAATAAGTGAGTTGTTTGCTTGACTTAACTAAGCTAGTAGGTGACAAGTAGGTGCATCACCTACTTCGACTTATTGAAAAGTCGAAAGGACCAAGTAGGTGCATCACCTACTTGAGCTATATGGATCTAATAAAAAAGGCCATGGCTTATGCATTAGATTTGGGCCTATTCTAATGGACTCACTTGAGGCCAAAACTAAGTTAAATAAAAGAAAAATGAAGTTACAGCCCAACAGCCAAATCTGCCAAGGCCCAATATATTTAAGCCCAAATGAAAGCAAGTAGGTGTATCACCTAGTTTGAACTTTTGAGCTGCTTGGTGTACCTAAGCAGGTGCATCACCTACTTGACCACTTAGTGGCTGAAAATAGACCAAAAAAGGGAGGTTCTACAGGAAATTCTTAATTGTGAAGAAAGTTCAATATAAGATATATTGGCTGCTATTCTCACTCATTTTTATCACACTATATTGAGAATTAACTCCAGCTCTCTCTCTCTCTTTTTCTCTTGAGGATTAAAGTAGCAGCCTTAAAGTTCCTTCTAGGGTTCTTGAAGAAACCCTCATATCTGCAAACCAAGGTAAGAGAAACACTTATGGATTTAGCTTAATTCTCCCACGGAAGACTGAAAACATGTTATTCATGCTCAATTATAAGTAGAAGGCAGAATTTCCCACAAGCTACTTCTCACTTTCCTTAATTATTGAGATACTTTTCTCTTCTTCTTTGGTTTAAGTCTGAAGGGAAGTCGAAGTTCTAGAGGAATTGAAGTTATAATTGAAGTTGCAGAAATTGAGGTAAGGTGACTGCTCCATTTTCTTCCTCCTTATGTATGAGTTTGAGTGAGGAATTATGGGTGTGCCATCATAAGGAACTCAAGAGGGTGGTGAGTTCAATAATTGGTTGTAGGATAAAGAATATTAGAGGCTGTTTTATGTGTATTGTTGTTGGTGCAGCTTGGGTAATTTTGGAAAAGGATATACAATGTATGTATTGGACAGAGAAGGAGAGTGTGGTGATACATATTATTTTAAGGGTTGTATAGGCTCATTATCCGTCAATGTTAGCTACTATTTTACGGGGCTCACGGTGTGATAGCTGCTAATTTTAGTTTATCATGACTTATATTGTAGATTAAAACCTAAAAGGGGAGGCTGAATCGTGATAGTTCTATTGGTCAGAGGATAAGGTATTTAAGGTTATTCCGTTCAATATTCTTCGGCATGAAATCTGATACTTGCGATTAATATCAATAAGTCAATTTCCTAAGTTCTATTCCTAGTAAAGGAAACATAGTGCCAGCGTATGATTTCCAAATAGCTAACAATATTTCCCCCTCTTCCTTAGTGTATATAATTACTTCATTATATTTTTTGTACTCTATAATTCTGTAATTATCCTCCTATGTGGTGATATAGAAATGATATTTGCAAAAGCACGTTTGGTGAATCCTCCTCTTAGTCAGTTGAAGAAAATTGTGTCATTTAAGTTCACATGCAATGCATTGATGTTACATACCTCCTTATCTCATTGTTCCTGCCTTGAAGTATTATTTTCATGTCTTCTACTACTGCTCCATAGTTTCCAATCTAAAAAAAGATTATGACCACCAAAACAACAATATCAAAGATTAAAGAATCTAATTGAAGCAATCTGTATAATTATTTGTGGCAGCCCAGGGGAAAATGCCTAGCATGGATCGATCCCAATTGGTATAGAAGGGTGGTAGCTCATGGGCGAAAGCCTAGCATGGGCCGATCCCAATTTGTGTAGTTATGAGGACCGCATCCCGAGGGTTAAAATGTCTAGCATGGGTCATCCTTTTCTACCACTGATCAGCTGGTCATTCGTATCACTTGCCTTACAAAGATCATAAAACACAGAAAGGTAAAGACAAGAATGTAACATACATTACCCCATCAGAGTTAAGAAAGGTGGTCTTCTGTTCTGATTTGTGCACACATATACTGATATTTGGTTTCATTTTGACTCTTATTTTATATAAGTTATTACCTTACATATTCAGTACATTTTTTCACACTAACGTCCCTCGCGGGGGACGCTTCATTTAATGTTGCAGGCACAGGTACTCCAGCTAGTAGACCTCCTCAATAGAAGCACACGCCAATCAACTAATTTTGGTGAGCTCTAGGTTGATTCGGAGCTTTACTAAGTCCTTGGTAGATTCATTTTGGTGTTATATCGTAGTTAAGGGTAAGGCGCGGTCTGCCCTGACCTACTCTATGGTTTTCTATCTTTTAGAGGCTTTGCAGACTTATGTATATGGTTAAGTTGCGTCTTAACAAATTGTGGCCTCAACGGCCAAGACTTGTATATAAGTTTTGGGTCTGCTTATGTTTGTTCGTATCACTGCATCCTATGTAAACTTGTCACAAGATTGTCATAGTTATATGCATAGTAAGCACAGGTTACATGTTAGTTCTCTGGGGCCTTTAGGGCATCGGGTGCCAATCCGTCTTAATGGGATTTTAGGCGTGACAAAAGTGGTATCAGAGCAGGTCATCCTAGGGATACTACGAAGCCGTTTTTGTGTAGAGTCTCTCTTAAGGATGCGTTGTGCACAACATTTATAAACATGAGTCTACGAGACATGTAGGACTTGTCTCATTTCTTTCATTTCTTAGATCGTGCAATAGAAGCAGTGTTGTAGGCGAATAATACCTAGTTTCTAAATTCTTTTATTATAGAGAAGATGCCGGTTATGAGAAGGAGTAAAAGTACTAGTAAGCGAGTAGATGTGGCTGCCCAAGAAGGGACCAGCCAACCACCACCCAGTCCAGTTGTTCAAGGTGAGGCTCAAGATGAGTCTCTATCACAGACTTCCCGACCCCTCCATCTCCAGAAGATCTAAGGAGGGAAGCTGCACCTCAAGAACCCACTATTAATGCTACCGAGCAATATTTGAGGAATGTAGTCCAATTATTGATTCGTATAGTTGCTGGCCATGGCCAAAGGCAAGAAGGTCCAATTGCAGGTACTAGTAGTATAGATAGAGCAGCTGGCACGGGGATACGTGACTTCTTTAATTTAGACCTTCTATCATTCACCGGGTCAGATCTTAATGAAGATCCACATGACATTATAGATCAAATCCAATGCACTTTGGATATTATGCATGTAAGTGATGAAGAAGCTCTTGAGCTAGCAACATATAGATTAAAGGGTGTGTCACGACCCAAGCCTAGGGCCTAGACGTGACATGGCGAATGAGGAACCCGAAGGAACCCCAAACAAGCCTCTCAAACTTGTCATCACACTTCATCGGTCGCGGAAGTACATTCAACATTAATTAACGGGAAATAGGGACTAAGGGCAAACCATTTCAAAATAACATCATAGAATAAGAGTCAAGCTCATTTACAAAATACTTGTCCAACGCACACCTCTACATACATAGATAGGACGGGGACATATAGCTTCACATAAAACTCATTCACATCATACCTTCACATATAGCTTCACATAAAACTCATTCACATCATACCTTCACATATAGCTTCACATAAAACTCATTCACATCATACCTTCACATATAGCTTCACATAAAACTCATTCACATCATACCTTCACATATAGCTTCACATAAAACTCATTCACATCATACCTTCACATATAGCTTCACATAAAACTCATTCACATCATACCTTCACATATAGCTTCACATAAAACTCATTCACATCATACCTTCACATATAGCTTCACATAAAACTCATTCACATCATACCTTCACATATAGCTTCACATAAAACTCATTCACATCATACCTTCACATATAGCTTCACATAAAACTCATTCACATCATACCTTCACATATAGCTTCACATAAAACTCATTCACATCATACCTTCACATATAGCTTCATATAGGACTTTACATATAGCCTCATTCATATATAATAATATAACAATACAATAACACTCATATAATGCCCTTCATGGCCTCAATCATAATACATTCCATAAGTAGACACCTCCACCATAAGTGGATCACACATCAATCTATCAAAATTCTATATCAATTCTACATTAACAATGAAGTTAGGCCAACTTACCCTTTTCCAAAGCCACAATCACCATTCCTCAACTCTCCAATAATTCACAATAGATAAGCATAGCTAATAATAAAATCAACTATTCAACTCCATTTAAGCATAATTCTATCATCATTCAATCACAAACAATAATCCCACTTCATATGCCAACTTTTGGAAATTTGCAAAGACATGGGTTCATGGAATTTCCTTTCTTAAAACCATCAATAATAACATAAATCATCATTAAAAACATTTAATGCAAGAACCCATGTTAGAATTCAAAATTAGGATTTTGAGTTTTTGAACAACTTTTGAAATCTTTTGGATTGACTCTTTGATTGAAGAAGGAATCAAAGATGAAGAGTCCCCATACCTTAATCTTCAAGAACCAAACGAAATTGGTGAAGAAATCAATAGCCACCATCCACCCTAGCTCCATCTTTCACCTTGAGCTTCCATGGGGTTTTGAGAGAGTTTTTTTGAGAGAGGGAGGGTTTCTTTTTACTTCCTAATTGGAGTGATTTAATATGGAAGAATTTTGGTCAAAAGGGTTTTATAATTTCTAGGAAATAATATATGTCATTTGGAAAAAAATGTCCAACACTTAGAAAAAAAAAGAGGTGGGTGAACAGTAAAAATGGTTACTGGAAATTGCCTTTCCTGCCGGATAGATTTTACGAAAATGGGCATAACTTCTTTGTCTGAACCCGGAATGAGGTGAAACGAAGTGAGTTAGGTAGCTAACTCAAAGGGCTTTCCATGGATATATTATTGTCCACACAAATAATTTGTGTGCTAGGAGATATGACCCTCCAAAGTAGACCCTAGAAAAGGCTTCACTTGAAAATTTCGGATTTTGATACGGGTGCTCTAAAATTTGGATTAGACCCATTTCCCACTCAATTTGACCCCCTAAACAAGAATATGAAGTCGGATTTTCGAAAAACGAAACGGATTTTTTTATATATAGCTAAACAAGTTTCCGGTAACTTCCGAAGCACATTTTTAAGAACTTTTTGGGTCATTTCAGGGTGTGGCTATATTGTAGTATGAAGCTTGGAAGCAATCTAGGGGAACAGATGCACCTTCAGCTGCATGGAAAGAGTTCAAAAAGGCATTCCTTGACCATTACCATCCATTGGAGATACGAGGGGCCCGCACGGATTAGTTCTTAAATCTCCACCAAAGAAGTATGAGTGTGAGGGATTACAGAGTCAAATTTAATTCCTTGTCCAGGTATGCTCCTACTGTAATAGCTACTATGGAGGATAGAGTTCATCGATATATGGATAGATTAGGTTCATATATTGTTAGAGACTGTACTATTGGTTCGTTGAATAAAGATATGGATATAGCAATGATGCAAGCTTTTGCACTAAAGTTGGAGGATCATAGGCAAAGAAGAAGGACATAAGAGTAAGAAACAGGGCATTCTAAGAGGGCCAGATCCATGAGGCAGTTTACACCATCCCAAGGTGATTTTAGGCCTCGATTCTCTAACAGACCGCCTAGGCCGTCATCTTTCTACTCTACAGCAGGTGCTCCACCACGGTTTTCAAGGATTTAGGGGCACTCAGTTTTGGCAAAGAAGTGAAAGCCAAGGTTCACAAATAGCGGGTCATCAAGAGCAGGGAAGTACGACTTAATCAAGGCCTCCTCGACAGCCTTGTAAACAATGTGGAAGGAATCATTTAGGTGCATATCGGTTTGGGACAAATATTTGTTTTTGGTGTGGTACACCGGGTCATATGATGAGAAATTGCTCTCATAGGGGTGTTGGTGGTGTGGCACAACCTACTAGATCAGTTGTTTCATCCTCATCATGAGCACCTTCTTTAGGTAGGGAACATCTATTGATCGTGGTAGAGGAGCTAGAGGACCAACTAATTCTAGTGGAGTTCAGAATCACAC